GCCCCGCCTCGCGCAGCCCCGGGCCCCGCCTGCCTCGCCGCTCACCGTTCGCATCCGGGTTGGCTTCCCACCGGATGTGACGTTTCTGGGAGCTCGGCGCCGGCGGGCGAGGGAGCGGGCTTTCCGGTTCAGGGCTGGCCCGTGGCTCTGGCGGTTTGCCATGTTGCCCCCGGGCGGCGCCGGGCGCGGCCTCCTTCGGCCTCCCCCCACCCCCAGGAGCCTTATCTGGCCGCTGCCAGGGCGATTTGCCCCGGGAAGGGGTCCCAGTCATTTCCAAGCACTCTGCGACTTGTGGGAACCGTGGGACACAGGGTTAGACGTTAGCAAGGCTAGGGAGACTCGGGGACTGCTGCCAGGGACAGGGGGTGGCGGTGGCGGAGGGTCCGGGCTTCAGGGTGCCCAGCCCTGGGGCCGGAGAGTTGGATTCGCCCGCCCCGGCTCCAGGTGCCCAGCCTTTGTGCGGAGTTCCATCTTCATTCGTTCACGTATTGACCGAGCGCCTGTTTCCACATTCAAAACTATTTGGCGCGACCAGCAAGGTCCAGAGGCTTCACCGAAAAGGAGTGGAAGAAACAGACGGCATGAGGATGGGAAAAACGGTGGTGAGAGGGTGTACAAAGGCTGCCGGGAGACGGTAAACAAGTGAGAGTCCGTGGGGATTCGGACGTTCCCAAAGGCTGCCCGGGTAACTGGAATCAGTCTGCACGCCCATGAGCAGCTACACTGCTCTGAAAGAGCCTCTTGTAACTGCTACGATGGGGGTTAGTGGTCCCCGAAGTCGATGGTACTTACCCCCAGGAGGTGCACAAGACACACCATTGTAAATATTCAAAGGAAATAGTTTTTATTTAATCTGTAAACATTTGCGTGTATTATAAAGTTCAAATTAGTACTGCCTATAATATATAAGCAAATGTGCAGACACTGGGGGTGCATGCTCAAAGAGGTTTGACTTAGACGGGTGATCAAAAACATTCAGAGGCCTCGGAGAACCAGTAAGGTGTAGACCATTTATATGCACTCGTTGTCCTGGAATGTTCGTACTATTCCTCACAAATGCGCTCGAGGGCTCCTGGCAGAAGCAGGTAATACTCAGAGCTGGGGCAGGTGAGAGACTGAGCTAGGCGCATCCTGTGGCTGTAAACTGGCCCCAGGAGGGAGAAGGGGGTAAACTGGCCCCAGGAGGGAGAAGGGGGTAAACTGGCCCCAGGAGGGAGAAGGGGGTGGGCCAGTGAATATGCCTGTGACCAAAAGACAAGCCATGCTCTAGGGAAGGCAAATCTAAAAGCCACCAACTCCAGTTTTCGTGTGTCAGGGGTCAAGGTCAAGTGCACAGTTAGAAGACTGCTCCCCATTGTTGTCAATCATCTCAGCCTTCCCTGTAGGAAAAGGGAACGGTTAAAGTAAAGGCAAGAGAATGTTCGTACTGCTTTATGGGATTAGTAATTTGCCCCAGAGGAGAATGAGGAAGGGCTCCACAAATTTAGGCAAGGATGTCCAGTTCCAAAGGAGAGGTCATCTGGACTGTGAGAACAGATGGAACAAATGATAGCAAGAGCCGAAACAACAAAATGTACTTCAGGACTCAGATGGGAGACCCGCCACTGTACTATGTAAAGGGTCACAGTGGTGACCCTGAGGGGCATGCTTAACTCCTGCTTTGTAGGCAGGGCCTCCAGGAATATTATGGGATAACAAAGCATGCATGGAAGGTATATGCTCTGTAAGCATATTTATGGGGTGCATCTGCTATCCACAGGGAGGTGTAGTGACTGCTGTTATTTTGGCCTGGCCAACATTTCCGTTTTCCTTGGGGGACCCATCCCTCCTCCATTCTCAGCACACATGCTTTGCATGCAGATGACCCCAACCCTGGTCCCTGGGGTGGGCACATGCCCAGGTCTAGCCAATCAGAGCCCCGAAGATTGATGCAAAAATAAGCCCTGACCAATCACAGTGAGTCCAGGGACTTGTACTGGAACTATTGAGAAGGCGGAAGATCTTTCTGTTGGGGTTGTGAACCGAGACCTCTATTATTGCTCCCTCTACCTGGAGGAGACAGTAGAATACAGAGAAAAGCAGAGCCAAGAGATGGAGGGACCCGACCTCTTGAAGCCATTGTCTGAAGTCGGAATCACCGCTGGGCTTTTTGATGAATTACAGGAAACAATAACCTGCCCCCCTTTGTTTTCATTATGTCAGCTTGAGTTGAGAATGGCCTGCCCTGTAGAGAAGGCCTGGGGAAGGCTCGGCACCCTGGCAGAGGAGGCCTGCAGGACATGCCAGGCTTTACCTGCACTTTGCAAAATCAGGCAGCCTGTGCTCGACACTGCCCTCCACTGCCCAGCCCATACTGGGCCCAAGTGGTGGAGAAAGCTGACCTGACACTTCCATCTCGAAGTAACTTTGGCAACCCGCAGTGAGGGTACCCCTGTCTGAGGAGGTAAGGGCCCAGTCTGTGGCTGGGCTCAGGCTATAGTTGGAAGGGGGCAGGACGGGGATTTGGAATGACCACCGGACCTACCAGGGCACTAGATTTATCACTCGGCTCATTCCCCTCAGATAAGAAGCAGAAAAGGATCTAACAGAGGGCAGTAGGTGCCTATAAAATTGTTGGCAGGGCTGCAAGAACAGGCCTTAGGATAACCCCAGAAAAACATCATAGAACTGACACCAAGGGGGATGCTATGTCTACCCCAGCAGCTGGTTCCAAGACCCCACCACCCTAGCTGCAGTCTGTGCCAAAAAAAGAAAGAAAAAGATGCCCCCTGCCCTGCCTTTTTTTTTTTTGTAGTTTAAATGAAGTTTAAATTTCAAGTTAGTCTCCCATACAAAAATTTACACATACATTGTTATGTGACCCTAATTGCTCTCCCCATACTGTGACAGCACACTCCTCCTTTCCACCCCTGATTCCCCATGTCCATTCAACCAGCTCCTAACCCTCTCTGCCTTCTCATCTCACCTCCAGACAGATGCTGCCCCTTTGGTCTCTTGTATCTGCTTGAGCTAAGAGGCACACTCCACAGGAGTATCACTTTATGTCCCACAGTCCCGTACAATCCCTGTCTGAAGAGTTGGCCTCAGAAGTTGTTTTAGTTCTGGGCTGATAGAGAATCCAGGGGCCATGCTTTCCAGGGTTCCTCCAGTCTCAGTCAGACCGTAAAGTCTGGTCTTCTTACTACAATTTGAGTTCTGCACCCCACCTTTCTCCTGCTCCATCCAGGACTCTCTGTTGTGTTCCCTGCCAGGGCGGTCATTGGTGGTAGCCAGGCACCATCTAGTTCTTCTGGTCTCAGGCTGATGAAGTCTCTGGTTTATGTGGCCCTTTCTGTCTCTTGGGCTACTACTTTCCTTGTGTCTTTGGTGTTCTTCATTCTCCTTTACTCCAGGTGGGTTGGGACCAATTGATGCATCTTGGATGGCAGCTTGCAAGCTTTTAACACCCCAGACGCCTCTCACCAAAGTACTTGCCCTGCCTCTTGACACCCACGAAGCAAGTGTCCCGATTCTGGACACTATTATTATTAATAATATTATTGCTGCTGCAGAAAAACCAAACACCTTCACGACTGCGTTCACAAACAGAAACAGCAGAAGCCCACCCCTATCTCCTCTCTCCCTTTCAAATGTTCCTGTTGGCCTGGTGGAAGCAAATCACACGACCATACTCTAGCAGCAAGGGATGCTGGGAAACACAGTTTTGGGATTCTATCTGAGAAACTACCAAAATGGGGAGACTGTCAACTCCAGATGCCCATCTGATTTCAGGTCCGTCTGGCTCACTCCTGCGCTCCTGGCGTCCAGAACAGCACCCAGCCCAGGCACTCAGTGACTGGTTAACACCAGTGGGGTAAGGTGTGAAATCACAGCAGTCGTTAATGGGGTATGGTGTGAAATCACAGCAGCCGTTAATGCAGTAAGGTGTGAAATCACAGCAGCCGTTCTAGGGGCAGTGGGGTGTAGCCCCAGCCTGGCAGTATGGACACCAATGAGGTTGTTTCATTTGGGGCAAGTTATGCAACCGTGTGGAACCTAACCTCCTGGCTCCATTGGAACTCTCCAAAGTTTACCAGAGGCCTTTTACTTTTCTGTACCACACGGATATGACGGTCCTTCCATGCTTGGGTTGTTGGGAGGGCCATGTAGGTAACACTGTAGGGTTGAAGGATGGAAGAAGCCTGGGATTTGCTTCAGTACACTGGGGCTGTGGGGTCACAGGTGGGTGCAAAGGGCTTCATCCCACTCTTTCCACTTGTGTATGCTTGACATTTCCCAACAAAAGGCAGATTAGACGGTGAATACACACGTGCAGCGCTTGGCACAGGAGCACGACTTGTGTCAGCTTGTTTTTTTGCTTTGGGCAAATCTGCTGCAAAAGACTGTTTTTTTAAGTTGTGCTTTAAGTGAAAGTTTACAGTTCAAGGCAGTTTCTTACACAAAAATTGATACACACATTGCTACGTGACCCTAGCTGCTCTCCCTATAATGTGACAGCAGACTCCTCCTTTCCACCT